TACACAAAATATACATTCTTGTCAATACCACATCACACCTACCCATAAGTTTAAATGAAACACTGATTGGCCATTATTAATACTCAATTTTTTTCAAAATAAAGCAATATTTCCATTTACTCTCCCTCTTTCTCTTCCTCTTTCTTCCTCTCCTTTACTTATTTTTTTCTTTCCTTCTCTCAAAAAAAAAGAAATCAACTTGTAAACCTCTAGATCCAGGTCGGCAATGTCTCTCTCATTGCTTGATTTCCTTCCTTCCCTTCCCTCCCTCCCGCCCTCCCTCCCTCCCTCCCTCCCCGCTTCCTCCCTTCTTTCCTTCCTTCCTTCATCCCTTCCTTCCTCCCTACCGTCCTTCTTCCCTCCCTCCCTGCTTCCTCCCTTCCTTCCTTCCTTCCTTCATCCCTTCCTTCCTCCCTACCGTCCTTCTTCCCTCCCTTCCTGCCTTCCTCCCCCCCAAAAAAAAAAAAAAAAAAAATACACCCCCCATTCTGGCTCCCATAGAGTCCTGCTCACCCCCGTGGGGCACACGGCATTTATGTGATTATTGCCGGCTAATTCATCTGATCAGACAACAAGTTATCTGAGGACAAGAACTAGGTCTTATTCAGCTCCATTTCCTCAGACTGGAGCAAAATCCAGGCACCAGACAGGTCCTCTGGACGTTGGGCTTTGTTCGGTTTCGCTTTGCTTTTCTGACACTATGGACCAGGGCACCATGTGGGTTGAGCTTACTCAGAGCATGGCAGCTTCATGGGGAGCAGGCTTGTTGCCTGGCAGCCCTGGGCTCCAGGAGCAAGTGTGCCAGGGAACATGGCCTTTTATAACCTAACCTTGGAGTCAGTGTTTGGAAATCACATAGGGGTCACTTCTGCTCTACTCCCTTTACAACTCTGTTTTGAAATAATTACAGACACAAGAAATTGCAAAAGTAGTACAGAGAAGTTCCATGTACCTACCACCCAACTTCACAATGGTAATATCTTATGGAACTCTAGTGCCTTACCCAGAATATTGTCTGATGGATGAATGAATGAACGAATGAATGAATTTTTTTCCGATCTCACTGGATCTGTCTGGAAATTAGAAATAATAACAGTGATATTGTTGATGCCATAGAACACCAAAATACACAACAAAGGAATTCAGGGCGCAGAATGTGGCTTCCATCCATCAGGGCTGGACTCTCCCATGACCTGTGAGCTGTGCAACCTTGAATACGTTACTTACTTTAGCCCTCTGTAAAGCCTCAATTTCAATACTGGTACAATGGGGATAATCCAAGGACCCACCTCCTAGGGCTGTTCAGAGAACTGAATAAGGGGCATTGGTTAAGCATTTGCAGCACTGCCTGGCATAAGAAAGTTCACCGTTAATAATTAATAAAGTACTTCCTTTGTGCTGGACAATGAGCCAAGGAGTTTATCCCATCTCACCCGATCCTCATGATCACCCTACAGGGTTGGGACACAATTATATGCATTTTTAGATGGGGAGGGACACAGAGGCTCAGGGAGGTGGAATAAGCACTATGAGACACGTTGCATCACTGCAGAGCAGAAAGCCAGTGTTGCTACTGCTGTTGTCAGTGGTGGCTGTGACCACAATCAGCGTCCACCCAAGTCTGCTATCAGCACCTGGTTCTGACTCTCACTCCTTCCAGTTCCCCAGGCCTCTCCCTCTGCTGCAGACCATGTCTTCCCTAACAATGCCACCCAGACCACCCACACACAAAAGCCCTACTGTGTAACATGTGCTCTCCTCTGCTAGCCCCCAGCTCAGTGCCTGGCACATAGTAGGCACATAATAAACACATGCTTTACTATTGCTGGCATCATAATTTATTAAGCACTTACTATGTGGCAGGAGCCAAGCCCATTGGAAATGCTGTCACAGACTGTCCCCAAACAACCTTGCAAAGGGGGTGGTATTCTTCCCCATTATACAAATGAGAAGACTGAGGCTTTGGAAACATATCAAGCTTAATGCCCATGTTGTTGTTGTTGTTGTTAGTGTTGCTATTTGTGGCTCCACTTAATGCTCATCTTGTGTTTCAGAATCTGACCTCCACCTCTCTGCCCTGAAGCTTAGCCTGTGTGGGGGCCCAGATCCCACCCTTTTAATGGGCTACACACACATACACACACAGGCACGTGTGCTCACACAAGCACACACATTCAAATGCACACAGACACACTTCCTACCTCCCATGGAGGGAGGAAGATATTTACAACCTCCAAACCCAGAAAGGATTGCCATCTAGCTTATTCAAGGAACCCCTTCCTGCAAAGCCAAAAAACAGCAACCCCAACAGGACAATGGGCAAATGATAGGAACAGGCAATTAACAGGAGGGAAACCCCCAAATCCAGGCATATGACAAATTGAAGAACAAAGAAATGCACATGAAAACCACAACCAGTGACATCCTACACCTGCTAGACTATGGCAAGAATTAGAAAGCTGGACGCTGCCCTGGCTGGCCTGGTGGGAGCACAGGCACCTCATGCCACACTGCAGGTACCTGTGAACCCCCTGTGATGGCTCCTGAGTGAATATTCAGGCAATGCCCCACCTCCCTGCAAGGCAATGCACAGCTGGGTGTCCATGTCCACTGTTTTTGGATACGTCTTCTTTCCCCAAAAGCAAACTCTCCACTGAGGATCCCAGCAAAGTGATTTATTAATTTCAGGAAAAACTGGTGAGGAAGTGGGGAAGTGGGAGGAAGCCAGGCAGGGGTGCAGCATCCCGCAGAGTCCTATAGAGGGTGGCCTTGGCTCACACTCACTGAGGATCCCGGGAACAGTGCAGGTCACATTCCAGGAGGCAGAGTATCTGCATGCTTCCACCCCTCCCAGCCTCCAAGGTCAGTTCTCCACCAAAGAGCCGCAGGTGCTGGCTATCGGGATCCTGATAGGTGCTGCGATACATTGAGAACATGTCTGCAAAGCAGCAACACACATTTTGCAAGAATCCAGCCAAACAGCAAGACACACATTGAACACATTAGAATCTCTCCATGGGAGGGTGGGTGGGAAGGGTAACGGGAGTCGGAAATAGGGCTACAGAAAAATGAGCACAGTGAAGAAAGAAAATACAAGTGTGGGGGCTTCCAGGGGCCCCTGACGGGGAGGTGGAGGAATGGAGAAGTGGAGGGAATGGAGGGGTGTAATTATGTCAACCTTCTCTCCTCTCCTGACGTACAGAAAAGCCCAAAACAAACAAACAAACAAACACTCCAGTTCCTGCCTGGGGCTCATGCTTGGGTGGTGCCCAGCTCAGAGTCTTGGCTACTGAATCCCTGACCAAGCCACAGTGGGCAGGCAGGAACCCAAACATGCGCTCTCAGAGCCCCACCCAACATTCTTCCCCATTAGGCGGGAATGAACTTGGACCAGCCAACGGAAGTAACAGCGTCAGCCTAGCCAGGAGCGGCTGTGCAGAGTCCTGGGCCCCAGACCTTCCTACTCGAGCCCAGCCCCAGTCACCAGACACATGGTGACTGGGGCTGCCCACAGCCCCACTACAGGACACTTGCTGGGAAAGGAATGGGGCCTCAAGGTCACATCTGGCTCCTCTTGCCACGCAGAACAAAAGCCTTGAATGCCATTATTGGCTTAAGTTTTATTAAACAAATACACATACAGTCCTCACTACATTCCAGCCACTGTTCTAAGCATTGTTACTAATGAGAAGAGAGGCACAGAGAGGGTAAGTAACATGCCCAAGGTCACATAGAAAGCTCAGATAAGCAGGTAGGCCCAATTAGCCATTCTGGAGGAATGTTCAGAAACAGACTTCAGACCCAAAGCCTGCTGAACTGACAAGCTCACTCTCTTCTTCCACTGTCTCACCTCCTTGGAACATTCCAGAAAACTCTGGCCTTTGCCCCAGTGGAACCGTCCAAGGGCCTCCAGAAGATCAATCTGGCAAGATTTGGGGTGTGCTTTTTACAGACGGAGCAAGGCAAGGCTCCAAGTCCCCTGTGATTTTCTCCCCCAGGTCCCTCTGCCTCTGGTTAATAGCCTGAATGGGAAATGCTTCCAATCTCAGTTCCAGCAGAAACCCTTTGGAGGTGGGGGTCATTCATTCATCCATCCTTCAAGGATATGAAGAGCTTTCTGCGCCCTGGCGCTGGTGTGGATGTTGGGATGCACTGCACCATGGGTGAGAGCACACCTGTCCTCTCTGAGCCTCCCCCTAACCCTGCAAGGTCATTGGCATCAGTCCCACTTTGCCCCCACAGGCTGTGGGGATGTCCAAAGCCCAGGCAGGAGAGCAAGTAGCCTGCCTGAGTCACCCCTCACAGCTGCCTGGTTGGCCAATGATGATAGTCTCAAGCAGGGACTGCAGGGCTGGAGAAGAGCAAGGTTGGGTGTTTACCCTCCAGCTCCTTCCCTGTAGGGTCTCCACGGGTGGAACTGGCCACAGCTACACTCCAGGTGCCAGGAACCACTGCTGCCTCTTGCCCCTCAACCTAAGGGCAGTGAGCGTTCCTCGCCACTCCAGGACCGGGATTCGAACCCGGGTTTATGTGGATCCAGGGCCCCACCTCCTCTGGCTGTCCCCTGGCTGGTCTGTGTCCTGTGGGCTCAGTGTACAGCAGGGTCAGGGGCCATCTGGGCGGCAGATATTGACCTTCCGATTCCTTGATGAAACCCCTCTGCCCAGTGGGTTCCCTATGTCTGCAAAGCACTGGCTCCTTTTCTGTCCTGGTCTGTCTGTCCTTTGCTCTTTCCCTGCTACCGCCTCTGTCCTGTTCTTACTCTACTCCATCTCATATTGGACTTGTTCTTTCTGCCTCTCTCTCTCCCCCAGTCTCTGTGTTTGCCTCTCTTTGCTCCTGGCCCTCTCCATCGCTGCCATCTCTCTATAGTCTCCCTGCCTCGGTCTGCGCCTCCTCCTCTTTCTCTTCCCCTGTTGTCTCCCTGCATGTCCATCATCGGTGAGCCCTCCCCCTCTGACAAGCTCAGCGAGCAGCCCCTCACCTGTGACAATACTTACCTGTGCGCCTAGCCAGCCCAAGCTGCCAGCAGCTGCTCTGCCAATCTGCTGTCTCTTTCCTCTCAGCCTACCACTAACCTCTTCCTTAAAGCAGGCTGCAGACCAAATGCAGGGGCCTTATCAGGGCCTGTGGGCGTAAGAGTCCATCAGGGAAACTGGAAACTTTCCTCATTCTGCAAATGACCATGTTTGGCCTGGCTCCTGTCCCCTTCTCCCCACATGACCCACCCTGACAGTCCAGCCAGATGGTCCAAACACCTCTCCTCCAGTTCTGTCAGCCTCCAAAAGGAGCTGGGAGGCCCCTCGGAGGACATCTTCTCTTCTAGCAAAAACTAAGGCCCAGAGAGTGCATGACCATCTCTGAATCATAGAGAAGAGGGGCTTGGTCTCTCTTGTTTATGGTGTATCCCCAGAGCCTAGAACTGTGCCTGGCACTTCTATAACATGCCTCAGCATGGTCCACATAGACTATTGCATAGATTTGCAAACACAGACTCAGAGAGGTGAAGTGACTAGTCCAGATTCACACAGCCTTTAAGCATCAGCTCAGGAATTTTTTTTTTTTTAGCAACATGGCTGTTTATTCACCCGGGTGCATGTGGGCTGAGTTTGAAAAGGGAGTCAGCAGAGGGTGGTGGTGGTGAGATAGAAGCTGGTTTTACAGGTTGGGGCAAGTGGTCAGTTAAAGGTGTAATCTATTTTAGGGAGGGGAAGGGCCTCATAGGATGCATGGTCACAAGGGTAGGGGTCATCTATTACAAACAGGCATGATCATAAACGTGGGGGGTATCGGTGGCAAGCAGAGAGGAGGGTGCAGTAAATTACATAGTTTCAGGGGTAGAGTCTTGAGAAACCCAATGTCCAGGGGGGAAATTCCACAAGGCTGAGCAGAACGGAGGACAATGTGAAGTTTAAAGTTCGATGCAGCAGATACCTTTACACCCTGATCCAAGGACTTTTTGATCCCAAAGCCCAAGATCACAGCCTCAGCCAGTAGCTGGAATGTAGTAAGATCTGCCAGCCACCACTCTTGCCCTCAAAAAATGTCTCTCCTGAGCACATAGCAGCCTCCCACAGCCTGGACAACTGTGGGTGCCGATGTCTTTGCCTGCTGTCAGAGTTTCTGGGCTGGTCTCATTCACCAGATCTCCTAGCTTCCAGGGCAGAGAGCAGGGCCCACTCAACTCCCAAGGATGGCTCCAAGGACACTTCCAGGGTTACAATCCCTGTCTCCCCAGGCTCTGAGAGACTCGGGAACCTGGAAACCACACAGTGCCTGCAGATGTTCCAGCCGCAGGCCTGGCTGCCAGCCCCAGTACGGAATTAGCTCCATGTCGGGAGAGAATTTCCTCCCTGCTCCCACGCCCACATGCAGGAGCTCACACTGAGTCACTGCAGCAGAGCAGAGAGGCACAGGCTGCCTAATAGCCTGCCCCATTTTCTTTAGGGTTTGGAAGGGCCACAGTGGAGCTTAGGACCTCATAAGAATGGGCAAAAACAAGGAGCGTATGACCCTGGACCAGGACAGCCCACATGCTAAGAAGCCGGAAAGAGCAGCTGATGAGTACACAGATGCAGGGAGACCCCCCCCCAAAATATTCACACCACTGCCTGGTGTCCTCCCATTAGAACGCTAGCTACTCCTTGAGCCTTAAAAGCATTTCCTTCCTCCCTGGGGATCTCTGTCTGCTGACCTGCTTGAAAATCTCCATGGGTTCTTGGCTCTCTGACCTGTGGTATGTTGCGTAACTGCAGGCATGGAGCATGTGGTTGGGTGCAAACCCTCCAGCTCCCTCCCTGTCGGAGGTATGAAAGGTGCCATAACCACTTCCTGCTCCAGCCCCTCAGTCTAAGGGCAGTGAGTTCTCTCCTTTACTGGACCCGGAGCGTGGTGGGGATCCCTTGGACTGTCTACCCTTTCGTCGGTCTTCCCCTAAGTTCTCATCAATCACCTCATTTGAGTGGGTCTTCCATCTCCTGCTGACATCCTGACTCAGAAACCAAACTCTCCACACCTCCCCCTCCCTCCCTACGCCCACATCTATCAACAAGTTCTTCCCAACAACTCATGGATCTGCACATCACCTCGGCTTACCTATGTGGCTACCAGGGGCTCCCAGCTGGTTAGAAACCTATCTACCCAGTACACGGACAATTTTACACCTAATAGACAAATCTTTTCAAGAAGCAAACTACATCGTGTCACTCCCTGCTGAAAACCCCTTAGCACCTCCTTGTTCTTAGAAGCAAGACCGACATCTTACTACGGCCTGAGCAATGTAGACCCTGCTTACCCAAGGACCGAGCCGAGGCTCAACCCAAGCCCCAGACTGAACTCCGACTCTGCACCAAGTTCCGTGAGAACACTCCCTTGCAGACTCAGCGTCATTATCTTATTGGACACCTAGCTGTCCTTGTAACCATCTCCCCAGCAGCCATTCCTAACCACAAAAGGTCCCCAGCAAGAACATTTGACAGACATCTGTCCTTCCAGGCCAGAAAGCCCCTGGACCCCCCAGTAATGGGTCCCATGCACAAACCCTAAGTATCTCACCAGCCAGCAGCTTGTGCCTCTCCCCATATACACTGCCCCAGCCCCTGGAGCTGGCCTGTCAACGAACGTTCTCCCCTGCACACACCCCACTGGATGGGAGGCCCAGCACCCTGTTTAGTTAATCCCCTGAAGTCCGCCTTGGGTCCACTCATGCAAATAATCCCCAAGCTTTGTCCACAGTGTATCTAAAGGGCGGCCAGGGCTGGGGGTGCTTATGGTTTGCTCAGGAGGTGGTCGAGAAGGCAGGTGGGAACCAGCCCATGGCACGCACTGGGTGTGCTGTTCTGCGTGTGGGCTTGGAGCCTCGACTCTGGGAGGTGGCAGAGGCCCTGTCTGCCCCCAGAGGCGCCCCCTGAGAAGTTGCTGTTCTCTTACAACCAGATCACCACAGCTCACCCTCTGCCCTTGCTTCTCTTCTCTGGCACCTTGAGACACCTGAAAAGTGGCAACTCAAGGAACTTCCCCCGCCACAGGGTCGCAATCTGCCTGGAGGGAAGAAGGGCAAAGAGGTGGAGAACCCAGACTCATCTCTAGAGCCCTTGTGTTTAAGCCCCATGCCTCACTCCTTCTTTCTCTGTTGCTCTGGCAGATGGATGAGGAGAACATTGCACCAGGCCCCCCAGACTCATACGAGAGCCCCGGCCAGGTATACCAGAGGCAGAGGGCCGTCCTGTGAAGGAGCATTAGACCCTAGAGTGTCAGCATGAAATAATAGCAGTAATAACCACCAGTGACTACATTTTATTGAACACCTACTATGTGTTCCAGGACATGGAGAAGCCCTTTTTGAGCATAATCTCACCCAAACCCCATGAGACAGTGGTCCTTATTATATCCGTTTTAGAGCTGAGAAACTGAGCCCCAGGGAGGTTAAGAGTCTTACCAAGTTATACGGCTGGTGAAGGGCAGAGGTGGGATTTGAACCCAGATGAAGAATCAATCCTGTGTTCTTTCTTTTATAATGAACAGGCTCTACTTAGCAAATGTCCTTAAATATATCCTGACTCTTTAGGGCCTCAATTTCCCCATCTATGGAAGGAGGGGTTCAGAGTTGATCTCAAAGCTTCCTTTCAGCTTTCAAAAGACACCATAACTGAATGAGCCAAGTGTCTATTTCCAGCCATGGGACCAATATAAAAACAGCACGACTCTGCTCCATGCTGTGTGATCCTGGGCAAGTTGCTTTGCCACTCTGAGCTGGACTGGAGTCACCTACAAAATGGCAATAATAAAACCTTCCTTTCAGGAAATCAGGTCAGTGGGAGGGTCTGGATAAAGGAAGCTTTTGGGACCCCTGACAGCTCTAAGATCTCTGGGCCAGAGGTTCAAGTTCAATTTACACTCCACCTGAGTCACCACTCCAAGAGCAAGACCGGGGTCCTGGCTGGCTGCAACAAGGTTATCTGATTCCATCCCCCATTCCAAGCTGCACAGCAGCTAAGAGCCCGCTCTTGGGAGTCAGCCAGACCAGGTTCAAAAGCCCTTCCTAGCTCAGTGACGGTGGGCAATGGCTTTTCCTCTCTGAGTCTCATCTGTAAGATGGGCTATTAGTACTTACTTCCTGGGGTTAGCATGAGTGTGTCATGACACAGTGATGTGGACAGGGCGCCTGGTATACAGCAGGAGCTCGGCAAATGTGTGTACAGAAAAAGCAGCTTGTGATGTTCCATGAGCCGCTGTCCCACGAAGGAGAGAGGGCAAGGCTGAGTGCAGTTGGCTGATCCTGCCCAAAGCAGAGGGCTTTACTTCCAGAAATGAACAGAGCCTGCACAGTGTCTAGAAGCAGAGGCGGGAGGAGAGCCAAGCTGCAGAACAGAGATGCCTCTCAGCCTCCTCCCAGGCCTGTACCACCCTGGGCTGGATGAGGAAACCATGGCTTCTGCCATTCCCAGCTTCAGCTCAGCCTCCCATCAGTATCCCCACATCCTCTGCAAGAGGCCCTGCAAAGCATGTTTCACTTTATTCCAGACCCTGCATTGAAACCAGGCTATTGTCCAGCCTCAGCAGAGGGCATGAACACCTAACAAAGAGGTGGCCCTGGCTGGGTGACCTGGACCTGCTCTCCATACCTCCAAGTCTCCATTTCCACTTCAAGGCATGTGGACCACCCAACATACTGTGATGGTGAAGGAAAAGAACCTCTGTGGCACACTAGAAAAACAGCCAGCCCTTTGTAAAGTCACAGACAACACCAATTTCCCTTTATTCTCATTTCACAGATGAGAAAACTGAGATTCAGATTCAGTGAAGTGAGCAAGTGAGCATGTGGGTAGAATCAGGAGGTCCAGGCTGGGCTTTCAGCTTCTCTGCCCTTGGTTTTCCATGGAATCATGTTACATGTCACTTGGAACTATGTTTCACTACTAGCTCCAGCACTTCGTGGCTGTGTGACCTCATGTTGGTTACTTCACCTCTCTGAGCCTCAGGAGCCTCATCTGTGGCATCTGTCTCAAGGAGTTGCGAGGATTCAATGAAACAAGGCTGGTGAAGCGCCTGCCACCATCACAGCCGCTGTGTTGCTATTACAGGGAAAGGGCATTTCTTTCACAGGGTGAGACTGAAATGTGTTTCTACTGCTCCCCTGAGTGAAGTCCACTGTTTCAGGGTCCCAGGAGAATTTGGCAGGGCACAAGCCCCTTCCCAGCTCTTTCCTCTGCTCATTTCCTGAGCACATCTGGTCCAGGGTAGCCCAGACCCCTTGGTGGCCACTCAACAGCCTGTTCCCATGCAGGCAACCTTGTTCTGGAGACTTCCTGCCCCCGCCTTAACTGTTCCCCTCCAGGGCTCCTGTCACTGGAGGAAGTGTGCTCAGCATGGACCCGGGGAGCCCGGAGTGAGGTTTGGCACCTCTTCTTGGGAGAGGTCAGAAAACAGAGGTTCTACTGGAGGATGAGGATGTGCAGAACAGGGGCCTCTCCAGACAGGCTGACTCAAATCCCCCAGGAGGCTGAGAAGCTTCTTGGGCTCAGCTCTGAAGGCCAAAGATTCTTCCTTCCAATCCTCTAATCCTCCTGTTTCCCTTCCTCCACCCTTCCAAGAAATAGTCATTAAATATCTAATATGAGCCCGGTCTGGATCTGAGTACTGGGGTTATAGCAGGAAACAAACCAGACACATCCCTGCCCTTGGAGTTGGGGGTAGTAGAGGTGACAGATGCTGAAGAGTGAAGTAAACAAACACACAATAAGGAAGGCAAACACAACTGGAGCCAGGCTGCCTGGGTTCGAATCCCAGCTCTATTGTGTGACCGTGGGCAAGTCACCACACCTCTCTGTGCCTCAGCTTCCTCATCTGGAAAATGGGAGTGATCATTGCTCCTCCCTCACGGAGTTGTTACAAGGATTAAATGTTGGTAATGGGTTCATGTTGGCAATGTTTCAGAAGCATGCTGGGTTCATGGAAAGCTCTATATAAATGCCGAAAAAAATAAAATGAATTTAATAGCAGGTGGTGATTTGTGCTGTGAATAAAATATAAAGAGGGTCATCTTCTCAGAGAGGCTTCTTGGAGTGCAATCTTTAAAATAGAATCCCCTCCCCCAGCATGTATGCCCTGTCCCACCTTTGAATGGAGACCTGAATACACAGAAAGCTTCATAGGCAATGGGAAGAGCAGATGCAAAGGCAGGAGGTTCGCTTGAGCCCAGCAGCTCAGGGTTGCAGTGAGCTATGAGTACATCATTATACTCCAACCTGGGTGATAGGGTGAGACCTCCATCTCCATAAAAAAAGAGAAAAAAAAGCTGGTGGTGGCAACTTCTAAGGGTCATACTCCTTGCCAGATGCTGAGGAAGTAAGATGGCTCAGTCACTGCCCTCATGTAGAGAAACAGCGTGCAGGAACAGATCGTGGCATGTCAGTATTCTGAGATGTCACCTAAATGCTAGGCTTCCAGCAAACTGGCCATGCTGGGCTTGCATTACCGAACAGGGTTAGCCAAAGTCTCCACCCCTCCCTATTGTCCCCTGGGGTAATAAGCCAGCTAGAATTTGCCATGAAGTTTGCCCAGGGTCTCTATTGTGGAAGAAGAAGTGCAATCCCATGAGAGAAAGAGGAACCAAGTCATTTTTACTTTCAGCTTTCAAAGGAGAGCACATATTTCTTTGTGGACACGAAACATTTTCATAAATGAGTCATTTTGGGTCTCCTGCCCAGCCCTGTTTATACTGAGTGTGTGGCCCTGGCTCCACACAAAGCAAAGGGAAAGGGCTGGGGAAATCAGGGGACGCTTCCTGGAGGAGGTGGCATTTGAGCTGAGCCTTGAAGGGTATGAAGCCTTTGCCAGATGGAGCAGTCAAGGGAGACAGCATATCTGCAGAGGGACAGAGGCTTGATAAAGTGTGGATAGGGGCTGTGTATGTGTGTGTTTGTGTTGGGGAGGGAGAAGGCAGATGTGGCTAAGGAAAGAAGAGGGTTTCAGATTGTGAGATCCCTGCAAGCCATCAACTTTATCCTATGGGCAGTAGGGAGCCATGGATGGTTTTAAGCAGAGGGTACCATCTTTCTAAAGAGCCCAGCTTCTAACCTGGGTGCCTGATGTGGGGGCTGTGTTGGAAGAGGAGAGACTGGAGGGAGGAGAACAGCAAGAGGCCTGGTGAGCTGAGGGCACGTCTGCCAGCTCCAGGCCAACCCAGAAGGTGCAGTCTTTGGAGGCTCCAGGCATCAGGATGTCCCACCAGAGAGCCAGGAACCTGGGCAATCTCTTTATTTTTCTTGAGGATCTTTCCTCAGCCCACAGGGACTGGTTTGCTTCCAGAGCCATTTCCATGGCAACCACCAATGTCCCAAGAAAGGTCTTGAGTGAACAGAGGAGTGAGACTCTTCATGGAAGAAGCTAGGTCACAGAGAGGGGCCCATACTGGCCAGTCCTGGGGGGCTGGGACCCATCTTCCCCTGGAGTTGTGATGCCACAGTAAGCTATAGTTGCCATGGCAACACCGGGTCCCCATCCCTGGGCCTCATGGACCCAGGGCCTTTCAGCAGGCGGGTGGGCAGAGATAGGAGGGAGGCAGTGCTGAGGGGAAGCCAGAACCTGCAGCTCACCAGGCAGGCACATCCCAGGACATGTGTGTGAGGCAGGTAAGTTTGAAGACCTCCTCCCACACACACTGCCAGGAGATGCCAAGGTAAAAATGAAGGAGTCGTCTCTGGGGTCTGGTTTGGGGTTCTGGAAAGGCATCCCTCACCGCAAATTGCTGCTGGATACACGCTGCTGCTATGCCTTCAATTCCACCATCAGGGTTCTGCTTTCAAATTTCCCCCAGTGAACTGAAGTTGATGTCACGATGACGACGATGGAGAAGCAGAGGCCCACACACAAAGAGGAAAGAGCCACAGTTACACGGCAAAATGGTAGCAGGACTGCGGCCCGGATGCCAAAACCATCCGTATTATGTCAGATTCAGTTAGTGGTTGACATGAATGTGTGTATGTTCACGTGTGAGATATTCATACTTCCAAGTGCTAGGGAGACCAGGCACGGTGGCTCACACCTGTAATCTCAGCACTTTGGGAGGCTGATGTGAGAGAGTCACTTATAGCCAGGAGTTCAAAACCAGCCTGAGCATCATAGAGAGACCCTGTCTCTAGGTGAAAAAAAATTAGTTAAAAAAATTAGCCACGTGTGGTAACACACACCTTGTTGTTCCAGTTACTTGGGAGGCTAATGGGAGAGGATCGCTTGAGCCCAGGAAGTCGAGGCTACAGTGAGCTATGATCACACCACACACCACAGCCTGGGTGACAGAGGAAGACCTCGCCTCCTAAAAAGATAAAAAGGTGCCAGGGAAAACATGCTGAAGGGAAAGGGCAGCACAGAGAGGGAGAGCTGGTGGAGATAAGGGGCAACAGGAGGAAGGCGGGCCACTGAGCATAAGCACTAGCCTCCCTTCCTCTTGGACAGCCCAAGTTGGGTCAGCAGCCCAGGGTCACTGATCCAGGACAGGGCTGCAGGACTCATGCGAAGCCCAGGCTGGAGACAGGGAGGGACTGCTAGGGGGACCTCAGAGGCCAAGTCCTTCCAAACCCACCTGCTCCCTGTGCTCACGGAGTCCACTACTCCTGAGCATGGTCCAAAGCGCCTGGGCGTCTGCTCTTGCAGGCCCCTCTGCCTGGGCTGTGCTTTCCACAGCAGCTCCTTGCTCCCCCACAGCCTTACATGCACAAATCCAAGCAGAGCAGGCAGCAAGTTGACAAGAGGAAAGACAGCCTCCTGTCACATGCCAGACACCTAGCTGGGAGCTTGACACCCCCTCATCTCTTCAGGTTCTGACAACCCACCTTCCCCCTGGTCTGAGGAGTGGAGGAACACGACCCCTATTTCACAGATGTTGAAACTGAGGCTCTGAAAGGAACCAGATCAGGATCACCAGCCAGTGCCTGGAGGAGGTAGGACTTGAACTCAGTGACTTGAACTCACTGAACACGTCTTCAGTGACTGTGACTGTCCTTTAACGCAGGGCCCTGTGATCTTTTACCAGTTGTCCCCACTCATGCACCTGTCCCCACCTTGCATACTCATGACCCTACCTCATAGACTTAGGGTATTCAGAGACTCCAACTCAGCCCCTCTGCACAGTCTCCACAGGCCGGCCAGACTCCCAGGGCACGGGGGCTTCAGAGACCTGTCCAGCCACATGGAGCTTTGAAAAATCCCAGAGCCCTGAGCTGCCCCAGAGGCCTCCTGCCTAGGCTGCCAGCCCAGAGCACAGAGGCTTGGAGCGCTCAGCAGGTTCTGGCCCCTTGGAATTCCCTGGCTCCAGCCCAGGCAGCTGACAAATGCAATCAAGACGGTGAAGTGTGAGATCCCACCCTGTTCCCAGGTACTGGGAAGGAGGGGCAGGCTGCCCTTCCTTTTGACTCTGTCACCGGGCTGTCACCTCTCCCAAGGCAAAGCCCAAGCGTTGACCTAGGTGGGGTCTTGCTGGAAAAATAGCCCCCCACCCTACCCCACCCCACCTTCCATGGAAAACAAAAAGCTGCTTGAAGACCAGAGACAATTCTAGAATCCTAAAAGTGATATTGCTGGATAGACTTTAGGCTTTAGGAGGGGTTTTGCACCCTCATCTTACAGAAAAAGGGAAGTGGCTGAGTGCAGCTGAGAGCTTAAGTCCTGCTCAGTTACAGCAAATCCACGTGTGAATCCCAGCTTGGCTCTTCACGTGCTGTGTAATCTTGGGTCACTAAATCACAGACTCCTCGTCTATAAAGGGAGTCAATGTGAAGATTTCATGGGATCATATACCTAGGGTGCATAGGGTGACCAGTTGTCCTGGTTTGCCAGAAACCAAGGGGTGTCCCGGGATGCAGAATGTAAAATACTCAAACCAGAATGTCCAGCAAATCAGGGCCCACCGGCCACTCAGTGAACATGAGAGCCTGGCCCTTCAGCTGTTTTGTTGAAAGAGAGCTTAGTCTGGAGTCAGCTATCAGTGAGTGTGAAACCCCCACCAGTAAACCATCTACAAAGACTTGTCAAGTCATTAGAAAGCTCTTCCCTTTTTTCACTAAACTGACCTTGAGCAACCTGCCACATTTATTTGTTGGTTTAGGCCCTCGAGTCACACATGATGAGCCAGCCGCCTCCCTTCCCAGACAGCAGCCACTTCCTCCTTTTAACCTCAGCCAGCTCTTCCTCCGCACCATTCTTAACCCCTTCCCAGCTGACCCCCACCAGGCCAACCAGAGTGTGAGATCCCACCCTGCCCTGCTCGCCCGGGTTGGGGAGGAGTCTACAGTTTGCTTTTGCTTACAGGTTTGTCAGTTTTTTACTTATGTTCACTTATATGTTGGCTTGATGCAGCTGTGGACGGGGGAGGTTCAAAAGAGGCTCACTTGTACAGGGAACAGAAATTAAAGTAAAAGAAGGAAGGGAAACATGTGTAGAGGCAGAAAATGGATCCAGGGCTAAGGGTGAAATGCAGGAGTATAAGAAATGTCCTAAACACTGATGGTGGCTGGGCCATACACCGGACTCCCAGCTTCCTGAAAGGGGGACCAAGCTACATGAGTTCCATGCTCCTTGCTAAAAACCAAACCCACTCAGGGGAATGGCAAGGCCTCCTGATGCTAGGAGCAGAAGGACTGTCTCCAGAGGCCCGTGGAGAGAAGATATGGGGGATCTGACCATGGGACGGGACCTCCAGTTCCTGAATGTTTTAAGGGAGGCATCAAACACTCCCTGATGGACAGCACTGCCCCAAACTGCAATTCAGTAAAAGTCAGTTTTCCTAGATGTAACTCTGAGTTTCAGTCTACACATCTAGGATGCATGCATTGCTGGTATAATCCAAATAACTTTCTAGAGTATCTGAGAAGAGGCCTAAACTGTGGCCTTTAAGTCACTCTCCCTGCTGTGGTTTTTTTCAGAATTGAAGCCTTGGTAGCAGTAGCAGTGGTAAACAGGACACCACTACTCCTTTTATTCCCCCCATTTTTAAAATTTTATTTTATTTTAATTTTTGGAGATGAGGTCTTGCTACATGGCCCAGGCTGGTCTTGAACTCCTGGCCTCAAGCAATTCTCCCACTTTGCCTCCCAAAGTGCTGGGCTTACTGGCATGATCCATCATGCCCAGCCCAAGGATCATCATTCTCTACGGTCCATGCTCAAACACAGTCTTTCTCCACACCAGCTGAACGTGGGCCTGGGGCATCCTTACACTCACCTATCTGTGCACATGTTTTATAAAACAGACAAGCCTGACACGGACATGCTCAACGCATAGATAGAGTGACCCTCCATTCTGGCTTGCCCAGGACAATCCCTGTTTATCCCTCTTGTCATTCTCAAAGTGCCCTAGTCTGGACAACAAATCCTATGGTTTCCCTACTCACAGATCACTCCCTCCTCTGCCCCAGAAGCTTCTGTGTACTGACCTTGCCCACCCACTTGTGCCAGGCTCTAAGCTAAGCACAAGTTCTGTGTCATTAAATTCCCACAAGGTCCTTTGAGGCAGGTACCACCATGATCCCCATTTGACAGATGAGGAAACCAAGGCTCAGAAAGCCTGTGGCTACTATTTCAGATGGTAGCCACATGCCAGGAATTTTCCAGGATTTAAACACCAGTTGGTTTTTCACAGAGATGGCTACTTTCACTACCTCTATTTTCCAGATGCAGAGATTGAGCCTTAGTTCACCGATAAAAGGGTGGCCTACCAAGGCCCTGTGGCTTCAGCCAGTAAAGAGCCACAGGGTGTCCAAGTTTCAGAGTCAACTTCCTTCGGTCCAGGCTCACGGGCTACGATTCCCTGTGCAAGTGACATGGCCTCTCTGAGCCTTCATTTGTCTCATCTGTAAAATGAGGATGAATCTTGCAACTTACTATCGGGTGAGTGAGAAGCAGAAGCAGGACCGGCACCGGGACCCTATGCCTCAGCCCAGATCGCACAGCTCTACCAGGAGGAGATGTGTTCCCCCTAGGAAGTTCACAGTCCTCAGCAGAACCAGTACATACTTCATGGAGTCACTGCAAAATGAAAATGTAACCCCTTATTCAAAAATTGCTGCAAATTCAGGACAGCAACTGCCATGTGTTAAACCGAGCGCAGGCCTTCTGAGCCCTGTGTGGCTGCACTGGTCACTGGCCAGGATGCTGGCCCTGCCCCTCGGCTCTGGGGAGTTGAGGGAAGAGCCCTCTACACTCAGACCCCAGCAGGACAGGGGCTGGGTGGGGTAGGTGATCTTAGGAGGAAGCAGCACAGCCAAGAAAAGGCAGAGAGAACACAGGATGACACCTCCTCCATGTGGACAGAAAGAGATGGGGAGGAGGGGAAGGGAGAGGAAACCCAGCAGGAAGAGGAGAGACGCAGAGGGCCTGGAAAGAGGAAGACAGAGTGGCCAGGGCAACGCTGCAAAGTGGAAGAAGAAAGACAAAGGCAGAGCAAAGAAAGTCCCCAGGGAGAGAGACTCCAAGGGAAGAGGAAAGGGAAGAGCCTAAAAAGAGTCTTCTGCCAACCTCTGAGAAGGTTTGACCAGACCCCACAGAGCCAGCTGGTGTGGGCAGGGAGGGGCCCTGTGAATGGCTGTCCTCCTGGGGTGGGGGACATTTAACATTTAAGAGCACAGGAAAGGCAGCACTGTGGATTTCCAGAATTCCCAAAGATCAGGGAGCTATGGGCAAGGTGTTGACCCCATAGTCTGCTATGGGTGGGGCCTTTGCTTTGTGATGGAAAGCCAGAACCACAGGGCAGTGGGTCAGACCATGTACTAGTTGGAATCACCAGTGGGAGCTCAATCACAACTCACTGCAGCCTCGACCTCCCTGGGCTCAAGTGATCCTCCCACTTCAGCCTCCTGAGTAGCTAAGACTACTACAGGCATGCACCACCACACCCCACTAATCTTTTTTTTGTATTTTGTAGAGATGGGGTTTTGTCATGTTGACCAGGCTGGTCTCAAACTCCTGGACTCAAGTGATTGCCCCCACCTCAGTCTCCCAAAGGTCTGGGATTGCATCCAGCCTCAATGTCACTGGTTGATTTTAACAGGAAAAGGTGTGGTAGGCCAGAGGCAGTGTTAGGTCCTGGCAGAGACAAGATGAGCTAAAAGCCAACCCAGGCTGTTCTGTTCATTGAGCATGGCTTTCAGTCATCATCTGCTCTAGAGCTTCTCTTTATCCATGGATATTAGGAGCAAGGAGATCCCACAAAAACACAGTCTCCCCTACAGACATTTCACCAAGGGCTCAAGGGTGCTCTTGGAATGAGATGGCAGGTCCACTGTGAGACATAGGTATTGACCACCCACAGCCTCAGGAGGCCACCAGGAGCGCATCGCAGCCATGAGGATGATGTGGACACTGGCAGAAAGGGTGGGCTCTGTGTAAACCCCACAGGACTTTCTCAGCTGGTTTAATGTGGGCCGAAGCTAGCTTCACTCTGACATCAAGGAAAGCTGTAGTCAGCTGGACAGTAAATCTGGCCAGTTTGAAAACCCGGAATGCACTCATGTCACAGTCAAGGAGAAAACAGGAATGAAAACCATAGGCCTTAGAGTTCATAACACACATGCTATTCATATAATAACATTATTAGCCTAATGGCTATCCATCCACAATTCTAACTGGGTTTTTGCATCTAAATGGCTGTCCAGGCATCACAACTCCACCTAGCTGGTGATGTTCAAATCATCTAAAAGTATAAAAGAAATAGAATGAAAAATCTTGCTCCAACCTGCCACCATCCATCCAGTTTCCTCTGTACCCACCTCCCTACATTAGCTTCTAATGTCTCCTTCCAGAGTTTCTTTGGGGAAATACATTCTCTTTTCATTTCATTTCTCTAATTTTGCATAAAAGGTAGTATACTAAACACACTATTTTGCAACCTAGCAACATATCTTTGTGATGATTTCTTATTAGTATATTTACATGTACAGAGTGTCTTATCCTTTTTGATAGCTGCATAGTATTCCATTGGAAGATTTGCCAACATTTAACTAACTAGTCCCAGGGATGGGCACTTGAGTTATTTCTAGTTTCTTGCTGTTACAATATTATAATAAATCATTGTATATGCTATAATGTTACAATTAACTACATATGTATAACATTGCCCACATATTCTTAATAGAGTCTGGAGTTCTCAAGCCTTGGTTTTTTATAATGAGCAAATGGGCTTTAAGCCCTCCCTTTGCACTGGCTATGGTATGTTTTGATCCATTGAGAATATCCTTCAGAGGCGCTTAGACCTTCACTCCCCACAGAATCTGGGCCATGTCTTTAGCACAAGGTCTGTCTCATGAGAAGTCAGGGAACCTCCGTTCTTATTCTAGCTGTACCAGCTGTTCTAACTCTCTGTCCTCAGTTTCCACATTTATCAAAGGGAGATGACAGTTGTTTGCAGGGTCGCCGTGGGGATCAGGAATCAGGAGAGAATTCTGCGGATATATGACAGTATCCACGGTGTGAGGGAGGTCTGTGCCTGAGGCCTCCTTGTCACCCCAGAGGGCAGATCTGGACTCTGTGGGTTCCCAGAGAAGACGCCAGTCAGGCTGGAGGAGGGAGTCTCTGCAGAAAACAGAGCAGCCACCGCCAGCGCCGGGTTTCCAGTGTGGTCCCTGATCCCATAGTAGCCAGAGCCTGAGCCCACAAGAAGCTGTGTTCCGGAGGTGGCTTTGGTAGCCCCAAGCAGCCCTGAGGACTGCCAAGTTGAAGCTGCTTTCTGCTTTTATTCTGTTTTAAAATAAAATAGTGATCACATTCCCAGTGTGTAGAGACACTCTGCCCCGCCATGAATTAGTCTCAGCTTTCCCAGCCACTCAGGAAAGGATCTAGAGGAATTTTACACCCACGGTTTATGCAGAACAAATCCTGGTGGGCAACAGTGTGCCCGTCCCGCTTCCAGGTGGAGTCATCATCTCCCTCTTCGTAGCATTCACATCTTCCTAACTTGCCTCCCAAGGGCCCCGAGGTGCTGACAGAGGAGCCTTTGTATCCCTCTTCCTGGCCCCCGTGCCCTTTGCCAAGAACCCTGGCCATGACGTCTCCGCTGATGCAAGTTTCCAGTGCTCCACAGTTTGTAGCCATGAGCAGAGATCTTTGAAACCTCTGCCTCGCTGAGCCATGAGACCCATCACTGTCAACCCTCAGGGTCCTCTCTATCCCTCACTTTGCCCCAGCCTCCCAACAATGTTGAGGACCACCCCTACCTTACGGGTGAGTAAACCGAAGCTCAGAGAGGTTGAGCAACTTGTCCAAGATCACACAGCTAGAAAATGGAGAAGCTAGGACTCGAACCCAGAGCTATGTTCAGTGTGCGATGGCTAAGGATATAGGTTCTGAAGCCAGATCACCTGAGTTCAAAAGCCAGTTCTGTCATTTACTACCTGTGAGACCTCTTTGTGGCTTAAATTCTTTCCTCAGTTTCCCAATCTGTAAAATGGAGCAATACATACCTCACAAAGTACCTACCTCACAAATAGTATCTACCTCCTAAAGTTGATACTAGGATATAATACGAGAAGGAATATAAACAGCTAGAACAATGATACCTGGCCCATGGTAAGTTCTCAGCACATTATCCATTGTTATTGTGGTTGGTGTTGAGTACAATTAAAAATTTCACCATTATATGACATAGCCCCAGATATAAACCTGGTATGATTGCAAGGAAGTACAATTTAAAAACAAAACAAAAGCCTCCTCTCAGAATTTCTTTCACAGGGAGGCATAAACATCTAATGACACATTACCTATTCCTCCTCCTTACCTTCAATAAACCTTACTGAGCACCTGTTATCTGCCAGCTGTCAGGCTGCGAGATAGAATACAAAGATGTAGTTCCTACTCCCAAGACACCCAAAGGCACGTAAGGGTGACAGACAATGAGTAAATCATGACAGAGCAAGCTCAGGGTGCTGGGGGACCCATGGGCATAGAATCCAGCTGCCAAGCAGGGGAAGGCTGCCTGGACAGAGTGAAATTTGAAGAACAAGCAGGAGTTGGCCAGTGGGCACCCCAGGCTGAAGTAACTTCAGAGGCACCGAAGCATTGCACTTTCACGTGACGTAGCTGGAGAATAAGGTTGTGAACTAAGTTGGGATTTAAAGCTGTGAGGGTGGAAACTCAGGCACTGTGTGGAGCAGAGGGAGAGTTTCAGCCAGATCATACGGACCTCAGTGTCTCCCTAAAATCTCAGAGGGGTGGCCTGACTAGGGGATGAAGCCTTGAGCTTCCCTCCGTAAGCCCGAGGAGGTATGCGCCAGGTAAGGGGTGCTTTCTCCTGAGCTCCAGCAGGATTTCCAACCCGCCCCAGGGATCTGCGACTCAGAATTAACATTCCAGGCCTCAGACTGTGAACACTTCTCCTCCTGTACTTAGAAAGAGCCAGAAGTGCCAGCCCACCTCCCAAGCCCCTCATATACATATTCCTGATTACCCCAAAGTAAAGATTTCTCCTTCTACCTCCTTCCCCTCGGCCTCTTCCTCCACCATGTCTCCTTCAGTGGGAAGAATCACAGACACTTGTTCTACTTTGGGTGTCCTCTCCCCAGCTCCCACCCTCCAGGAACCTGAGCCAGCGGCTTAGGAGAAACCAGCTCCTCAGGTCACACCCACATCCACACTGGCTCCAGCCACTCATTCATTCATTCTAGAAGAGGAATAGAAACAAATCCCAGAAACTCCAGCACAGCCATATTCAAAGAAACACAGTCCGGCAGACAAAAGTGCTTGTAAATCTTTGAAATTTTTACGGCCACCTCTCAAAGAACAATAGAAGGGTATCGTAGCATATGTTTTTGGTGCCCAGTCTGGGTTGTCTTAACTAGCAGGATTCCCCATCTGGCAGCTGAAGGGAATGTTATAGGTTAGCAGCTCACAGCTGCCCTCTCCTCCTAAGAATTGCCCTCAGCAGAGCAGGAGCTGCCTCTCCCTGGCTGCCACAGGGCACAGTGCTCACTCCAGGGCTCCCCGTGGGATCAGACTGAAGCTAGTCTCGCCTGAGGCCACATGCACTTGCCTTGAGTGCAAACTTAGTGGGGAGGGTTGCCAAAAACCTCACTCATCCAAATAAATAATAATGTAATGCAACATTTTTTTCAAAATCAAACTTACAGCTATTTAGGAGGCTAAGGTGGGCAGATCAATTGAGCCCAGGAGGTCAAGGCTACAGTGAGCTATGATCATGCCACTCTACTCCAGCCTGGGTGACAGAGTGAGACTCTCTCTCTCTCTCTCTCTCTCTCTCTCTCTATATATATATATAGAGAGAGAGAGCTCAAAATTAATGCAAAAAATTGCATGGTGAGCAAACGTCAAAATGAAGATGGGCTCCCGTCCTGCACTCACAAGCACCTGCATCACTCACCACCCTGCACCCCTGACTGCTAGGGAGCACACCCTAACACAACATGTGCACCCAAATCCCTGTCTCAGGCTCTGCTTGGGAGAAACCCGATCTGAGACAAGTATCCAGATCAGAACCCACTGCCGGGGTTCTTAGAACGTGCTTTGACTCATTCCTCTCCTGTATTCCCAGATCTAAGAGACTTTGATTCCCTTCCCTAGCTCTTCCCCACACAGCCCCCTTCCACTGGGAACTGAGCAGGCATGGTGACATAGTCTGAATGTTTGTCCCTCTGAATCTCATGTTGAAATCTGATCTCCAGTGTTGGAGGTAAGGCCTAAGGACAGTGTTTGGGTCATGGGGGTGGATCCCGCATGACTGTCTCAGTGCTATCCTCAAAGTAAGGAGTGAGTTCTCCATTAGTTCCAACAAGAACTGATTGTTTAAAAGGAAGAGGCTGAGGGGAAGGTGGAAGAAGGAGGGAGGGAAAAAAGGAGAAATCTTTACTTTGGGGTAATCAGGAATATGTATATGAGGGGCTTGGGAGGTGGGCTGGCACTTCTGGCTCTTTCTAAATGTGGAGGTAGAAGTGTTCACAGTCAGGCCTGGGATGCCTGAGTCGCAGATCCCTGGAGCGGGTTGGAAATCCTGCTGGAGCTCAGGAGAATGCACCCCTTACCTGGCGCATACCTCCCAGCGCTTAGGGAGGGAAGCTCAGAGCTTTGTCCCCTAGTCAGGCCACCCCTTTGAAATTTTAGGGAGACACTGAGGTCCGTATGATCTGGCTGAAACTCTCCCTCTGCTCCACACAGTGCCTGAGTTTCCACCCTCACAGCTTTAAATCCCAACTTAGTTCACAACCTTATTCTCCAGCTATGTCATGTGAAAGTGCAATGCTTTCATGCCTCTGAAGTTACTTCAGCCTGGGATGCCCACTGGCCAACTCCTGCTTGTTCTTCAAATTTCACTGTGTCCAGGCAGCCTCCCTTGGCTTGGCAGCTGGAGTCGATACTGTGCCCCCGGGTCCCCCAGCACCCTTGGCTTACTCTATTAATTCCCACAAGAACTGATCATGTAAAAGAGCCTGGCACTTCCCTTTCCTCTCTCCCTCCTTCTCTCCCCATGTGATGCCGGCTCCCCTTCCCCTTCCACCATGAATGGATGCTCCCCGAAGCCGTCACCAGAAGCAGATGCTGGTACCCTGCAGCCTGCAGAACAGTGAGCAAAATAAACCTCTTTTCTTTGTAAATTACACAGCCTTGGGTATTCTTTTATAGGAAGGCAAAATGGACTAAGACACACAGTACTCATTTTATCCAATTGCCAGCTGGCACCTACTATGTGCCAGGCGCATTGTTCCCTCCGCAGACCAGCCTTGGATCAGGGAGCAGATTCCTTCACCTCCATACCTCATTCTGTCAGATTCCCCCTTCAGCCTGACAGTGCCCACCGGAATCCCCCACTGAGCTCTGAAAAGCTTAGCTCAGCCAACTTCACACCTTGGGATTTCATGAACTGGTTACATTTCCCAAAAAGTTTTGAGACTGTCGGAGAGTTTGCCAAGTAAGGACATTGTAAAACTAAAACTGTCCTTTACCATCACCACCACTTCAGAAAAGAAACAACACTTTAATACCCACGAAAATAGGTGAGACATAAACTCATCTTTTTCAGTTGAAAATATTTCACTTTACAAAAAGCTTACTCTACTATCTGTGATTTTCCCCCCACCCCCACCCTTTTTTTTTATTTTTATTTTTTTAGCTTATCTGCAGACTGGTAAATGTGTGGACACAGCTAGGCTCTGATGGGTTGGGGTTGTCAACCCTTCTGTTTGACATTGGGGGAAACTGAGACCCAAAGGACAGCTCTGCCTTCCCCATTTAAACCCCAGTCGCTGAATGTTTCCCTGAGGGAAACTGAGGAATGAACAAGGTGCAGGGCAGACAGGAAGACTGGGTTTCAGTCCTGACTCTGCTCCAAATTCTCTGTAAACCTGCACAAGTTTCTGCCCGTCTCTGAACCATGAGGCTGCAAATCTTTCCGATGACACTGAGCTGGAAGGTGCCACCTGGTTCAATGAGTAGAGCTTGGGGTACAGTCCCTGCCTGAGCTCACAGACAAGCTTGGCCAGAGAAACAGTACTGGATGCCAGTCCTCTTTCTCTGATATCCAATCTAGTGCCTCAGTTTCCTCTTCTGGAAATGAGTTCTTTGATCCTTGCCAACTCTAGACTGCCACATAGACAGTGGCACAGGAGCCAAGGGGAGAGAATTGGTAACAGCTAAGCCACCTGGAGGAAGAAGCTGGCCCCACAGCCAAGGCCTCTGACGAGAGGCACACAGGACTACTTCCAGCTCCAGAGAGACCAGGGGCCACAGTCCAGGCCTGGCAGGTCCCCTGCCTGTCAGAGACCCAGCCCAGGCCAGAGGTCTAGGACTCCAGCTGGGAGACCCCAAAGTTTACATCTCTGGGCAAACCAGGCATTTACCAGTCTCCAATGGAAAGGTCCTTGGGGGGCCTAATACCGACGACTGGGTTCTCAGTGGTCTCTTTCTTCTGGGAGCTGGATGTGATCACATCTGCTGTGGAAGGAAATACATCTCAGCTGTCCAGGAAACACGTCTTGGCTACCCAGCCACAGATGTAGGAAGGCAGATGAGAACAGGGCTCACCAAAGAGCCTCTTTCCAAGTATTGTAGTGAAGACTGCCTGGGTTCAAGCCCTGGCTCTGCCGCTTACCAGCTGTGTGACCTGGGGCAAGTCACTTAACCTCTCTGTTTCCTCCAATACAAAATGGAGAGGTAATGGGAAGAGGTTCCCATCATGTGGGAGCACTCCCCTCAGACCTGACAATCTGTTCTCTGCTCTAAGTTTCTCCTAACGAGCCATCCAGACAGGGAGCCAGAGCAGACAAAGCCCCTCTCCCTGGAGCCAACCCAAAGACTTCCGAGGGCTCCATTTTCATCTTTAAATGCACGGGCCTGCTGCAGCACTGAATGCAAAGTTCCCAGGCTATTTTTTCAAGCATGTGCCCTCAAAATAATTATATGCAGTTTTAAAATAAAACACATGGCCTTGAAATAATTTCAGTGAGGGTTTAGTTTTCCCTAAGGGAAAGAGATTCCATTCCCTGAGGACTGAGGGTGCACCCTTCTGCTGTTGGGGCTCACTTGTTCATTCCCTTGCAAGTGTTTACTGAGCACCCACAATGTGCTGGGTGTAGGGGTGGTGGGTGGCCTGAGCACACTTCCTCCCACAGCCTTCAGTCTGACCACAGCCAGCTCCCAGAGAGAAGAAACCAACAAGAACCCTGTCGACACCACAGCCTCGAGAGCCCTCCAGCTGGGAACAGGTAAGTGCTTGGTTTGTCCAAAGTTGCAGCACTCAACCTCTGGAAGACCACAGCTGGTTCAGAGCACTGGCTGCGGAAGAAGCCAAGGGGAAGAAACAGAGGAGGGAGCAGAGGAGGGAGCGGAAGATGGGGCAGTGGAGTTGGGGCGGTGGGGGGCGCACTGGGAGGACAGGGATGGGGCAGCCTGGAGATGTTCCCAGCATTTCCAGAGGGCTCCCAGGCACTACCACCCCTCAGGGAGCCAGAAGACACCCAGACAAGCCTTATGGATTATTCTGCAAACCTGTCCAGGGGGCCTGTCTTGGACCATGGCTTCTTCCATTTCCCTCCTGTCCCCTCTCAATCACCTGAGAGGATGAAGATCACAGCCACAGAGCTTCTTACTAAATCCGCATCTTGGCGGGATATGGGTAGCTGGTAACAAACTAGCCCAGGCTGCACACTCACTAAGCACAGCCCTGTGTAGACTCCCGGCAGGCGTAGGGCAGCTGGCACCCCTTCTGTTTTCAGCCCAATTCCAGCTTCCCCAGTGGATTCTTTTATGTAAATAGCTGACTGTGGCAAATACCAAA